TTTAATGAAACCAATTTTAAACACTCCCATTACAACAATTGTAACTTTAAATTGTCATGGGAGATGGGTAGAGACACTTAAAATAGTTTTGAAATGATTGATTGCAAACTCTTAAAAAAAACAAGGCCAGTGAATCCTTGAATGAATTACAATAAACTTAAGGGGTCTGTCACTAAACAATATATCCTGGATACACTAAACAATTAAGAGTTCACTTTCAAGGACTTGGCTACTGAATTCTGAACTCAAATATTTATAATGGAGGCTCTATGAATTTCCTTTAACTGTATTTATCTTGCATGTTCTGTTTTTGAGTATTGTGTATCAGTAGTGCAGCTAGTTTCTTTTAGTTGGCAGACATGTATGTAACTTTAAGGGGTTGGCCAGAAAACTTTAAGGGGTTGGCCATTAGAAACTCTGCGAGAGGGTGGATTTTGAATAAGTAAGCACAGAGAAACTATTGAAGAAAACATTTCTACAGGAAAAAGTACAGAAAAAATAAACCCAAATGTCTTTAATTATAAAGAAAACAAAAAACAAAATAGAATAAATAAAAAAAAAAAGTGCACAGCAACATCATCCTGAAAACAAAATCTAGTTCAAAAATAAGTGAAAGAAAATAATGTCATTTCCCCCTCTAAGCATTTTTGATGGTCAGTCCCTGAGCATTCAGGTTGAGTACTGTAGAAGCATTTATTTTCACAGTGTTTTAATTTCATGTTTCTAATATATTCAGACATCACTAACTCGATTGTAAACCAATGAGCGATTTTTACATTTTTATGTAGTTGTAATTCAGCAATTAAATTCACTGATTAATTTAAAAACTATAAAATTAAAACCAAGTGAATAATTAATTATTAAATATTACAGTATGTGAAAAAATGGTCAGACGTCATAATGTATAGACTCAGTTGAAATAACAATAATAATACTTTATTTCGGGATCGAGTAAAAAAAAACAATACCAGGTAATCTCATATAACAAACATAGTAGAACCGACAAAAAAACAAAAAAACATAACATTAATAATATAACAAATTCCTATACAACACAATAGATAAAATACATTTAAAGAAGTATACATAATTTTATTTAAAGTAACAGTGGTTTTTAAAATATATATTTTACAAATTGCATGTGTGTTTGAGAATCATTGCAAAACACAGATTATGGGATTAATAATGAACCCAGTGTAGCGTGCTCATAAAATTTGGTGTCTAAATAATATGCATAGCTATATGTTCAAATCTCATTGATATATTTTAAACATCCAGGTCATTTTACTCTGGTATTTTGGATAATAAATAAACTTGTTTGTTGGTTCACATTTATGATTTGTTTAACAGATAAAAAAATCTAATCATAGAATGAGATTTGAAAAAAAAATCTGCAATGTTAAAATCCTTTTTTTAAAACTGTTATTTTTTTTTCAACTCAATTGAACCCTGATATTATCAGCAGATAATACAATACTGTCAGTGTATATAAAAAAAAAATTCTTAACATTCATTCCAAAATAATTTTCAATTAAAATTCATTCATAAGATTATTTCAAATTTATTACCCTGAAAACTGCAAATAATAGTATCTCACCATGACAACTGATAATTTATATTGCTCTTTGATAGGAGATACTAGTATCTATTTGGTGAATGTGCAGGACTGACTTCAAAGATAGATCGTTTGAAATCAGTCACAGGCTGCCCAGAGTTACGAGACGGGTTATCCACTGAAATGCATTACTATAAAAATGACTGGTATAAACGTAGTAAAATACTCACTTAGTTGACGGTGCTGTTCCATGATTGGTTGAATACTTCGCAAAAGTACGGCAACCAGAATGTGCGACAGTCAGCAATGTCTTTGTAGTAGCTGGTAGCTAACGCAGTAGCCCAAATAAATGACAATACTAGTTGTTCATTTCAGCAATTCACAAGACAAGATAGACGTCACCTGCGAGTCTACACTTAAAAAGTTGTCATCTTTGTGGGCATCGATAACCAGAAAGTTACTGCGACATTTTAAACCAGAAATCACAGAGCTCCATGTAAACACATCCCGCTGCTATTTAATTCCGCCATATTTAATTAGAGTTAATTATTAACGGTGTCCGAGTTTTAACCTTGGTTATCACTGTTCTGCATTCTCAGCATTTATTAACGTCCAATAAAATATCTAATTTACAATACCTCCCACTGACCGGGCCACTATCAAGGTGATTAGTCATGTACCTGCTGACCGTTTGGTAGTTCAGATTTTATTTGAAAATTTTTCCTAAATAGTCTTAGTTTCATTGCCAGGAAAAGTTATGATTATTACTCATTATGACTGTCGACACTATTTCCCCAAATATTTATTATTTTTTCATACAATTATTATTGTTATAATTGTTTTTTAAATTAGTTGAATTAAGCAATAAAATATGTAGTGAAGATAATAATGAAAAATTTAAGTAATTATACTACAAACTTTTTTTTTTCCATGTTACAAAGTATGCTAAGAATGACAGTGATTAATTGATAACTATCGTTTTCGACCAATTTTGGCATATTTATGACACTTCTATCCACATGTGCAAGGTCAGACATATTACACCCAGCTATGGATACACAAGACAAATATGTTACCTATTTAGTAATTTCTTTTCAGTGTGTTAATTTAGGTACAGAAACACCTGGTGTTACCGGTTATTAAATTTAGGACAAATTCAAACTTTTCTAATCTGTTCTGTGTTTTTTTCAAAATTTTTCACAAAATTGTTATTTTCTAAAATTATTTTAAATCTTAATTTTTAAACTGATAAGTCAAAGGAATTATTTTCATTGTTAATTTTCATGTGAAATGTAAGGGTTATAAATCAATAGAAATATTTATAGGAATAGAATAGTGGTATGAACACCAGTTGTTTAACCTTTTCACCCCCAGACTTTCTTGCCCAAATTTTTATGC